TTTAAGTTGTTATTGTCTATGTTCTTCAAATCTTGCAACTGAATTTTATAGTGTTATAAGGTGAAGAAAAAAATGACAATTTTTTCTAACAGTATTTTTAAGTTACTGTATAAACTATATTTTAACAAATAAGGATTTTTTGTTTTATCTTATTCTTTAAAATTTTAAACAGCAACCTCATCCACTTAAACCTTTTTGAAGTCATTTTTTTAAGCAAGCAGCTTAACTGAGCCCTTTGAATCGCAACCAGCATATTATGACATGATGACATGAAGTTTTTTCTTTCATATATTGTTAGTTAATGTTCCGTAGAATGTTGCTAGCTTTAAAGAAACATCGGTGATGGTTAATTGGCGTTTTAAACTAGATATTTAGCAATTTTGTTACATGAACTAGACTTTTAATTTTCAACAACATCCTATTAATTATGCTATTGCAGTTTTTATTTAATAAAGAGTCTGATTCCGTGGTCTAATAAGACTTTTCTTGTAAAAGCCAGTAAATTTTTTATTTCATTGTAGTTCTGTACTATCACGGCGTTTTCCTCGATGTCCATTCATGGCTGTTTCTTAACCAATTAGCATAGCTGGTTGTATTGTTGATTTTTTTAAACATTTAGTAAATAGTAATAATAAACATAATTAAAGTCTACAAAAGTATAAAATTATAAATTCATATTGGTGAATGAGTTTTTTAAACTAAGGTATTACCTTTTGTCTTTGGTGATTTAAAAAAAATACTCTTATGTAATTACGTAATACAGGTTCATCTTAAATTACAAGAAATGTCACTAAAATTTTAATATCGTTATTCAAAGAAAGTAAAAGTTAAAAATAACTTAAAATGATCTAATTTTGCATACGAGTAAAGTCTAATTCCGTGGTCTAATAAGACATGGATCCTTGCAATATAGTGCATGCATTGATATCTTCCTAGAACGATACACGTGACGATATAGAATCTAAGAATCTAGAGAATTATTTATTAGGAAGATGCAAGCTAAACTAAATATTATCATTCTGCAACTGAATTATAAATCACTTAAGATAACAGAATAAACAGTGCTAAATCTACAGGTATTGGTATCTCTTTTTTAACTTAATATAAGAGTTTCCCTATTTCAAAGTTTGAGTTTTAATTACTTAGGTCTTCTAATTTGAAACTGGCGAAAGTTTGGAGTAAATAATATATATTTTCTACTTACTCATTTACGCCTATTATTAACCCGAATAATATCCTGAAAATGTTTATCGAAAATGATTTTGGGTTTCAATTCTCAAAAAAATAATTTTACATATCTTCGTAAAAGTTTAAACAGAAAATCTCATAAAAAAATTAACTCGTTTAATTATTATTTTAGATGTAGGAAAATATCTTCTTAATAAATAATCAAACGATGAAAAAGTGGATAAAAAAGACTACGGTCTTGTTTATAACTTAGCAACCTCATAGATAAATAATTAATCTTCGTTGGACATATCAATATCTACCTGTTCTTTTTAGTTTCTTGTTTATTTAAAATCTGTTACACCTTGGTAAATGATTGATGACTATCCGTCCATGTGTTACACTATCAGAACTTTTTCACAGGCTCCTTTAAAACATCATTTATAATGTAGAATATTGTCAGTGTGCATAGCATCATCTTGCTTCAACCATTGCAATTGCATCGTGTTAAAGTGAGATGTACTATGTTGCTTAATCCTTTATTAATTTGATTAAATTATTGTCGCAAAGATCCATTTTAATTTTCAACTTGCCATATTAATGGCAAGTTTAATAAAAACTGACACTTTTTGATTTGATTTCGTTGTCTCTTAAAAGCATTTATTTAATAATTAAAATATTAGATTTCATAACGATTTTGGATTAGGGTCATGACATGATACAAACGATCGGTCATGGTTTTTAACAAAGCCTGGTAATAAAGTAATGAGAATTAATGATGTTACAACTAAATTCATACATACAGTTTTACAATGAATATCTACTATAAAGCATTATCGATAGTTACAGAAGCGAAAAGGAGAAATTAATTTCGATTTCATTAATCAATTGTAGAAAGTCGCATTGTCTGACTAGAATTAAGTAAATAAACTTAAGAAATTTTGTTCAGGAAGTTCATTAGTAACTTGCCACTTATATTAGCAACGGAAACTTCGTCGGTGATATTAATCTGTGGATAGGTTTCGCGAATTATAATAAAGCATATTAAAATAATTATCAAGGCATTTACGTTTAGAATTTAATAATTCGTAAGATAGAAAAGTGGTGTGAGTTTTAGGTAACATTAAATTTTAATATTCCTATAGACTTATATGCATAAGCAATCGAAACACTGACATATTTCTATATACTTATAAAAAATAATTACACTAATACTCGTCTGCATAAAAATTTAACTTCAAATAAAAACCAGAAACGAAAAAGACAAGTTATTATTATATCATCTAACGGAACCTAAGTTTTAGAGCTCCTAACTATTGTAACACCCATTCTATACTTATTTAGAAAATTTTAAGCAAATCTCGACTTTAATTAGTCTTGGCTCTCAAGTCGTATACGTTACGATAACAATTTATTATAATTCGTTTTGAATGTCTATTGACTAGTAAACTATTGAATTTATAACAGAATTCAATTATAGTATAATTTGTTTCGTTAAGTGATTGTTTTATTTGTAACTAAAGAGAACGAACAGCAACAATTAAGTTGTTAAAACAACAACAACAAACAGTTCATTATTTACTTAAAATAGGGCCAAGAATCAAGTCGAAAATAGAAAGCCTCCCGTCTGCAATTGGCCGTTCTTAGCAATAACAAAACAGAGCGAATAATAAACAAACTCTTGTTTGCAAAATTAAATTTCAATTTGAGATTCTTAAACAATGACTTAATTTTTTATTTCGTATTAAAACGTAAATTGATTGACTTCTGAAGAGCCCTTTGTTAAATTGGAATTGTGTATGGTAAAACAAATATACTTTCGAAGTCTTGCCTTACCCTTTAACCGAATTAGGTATTATACAGTCTGGAAATTATTAAAGCTAATAGTAAATTTTAATATCCCATACTAAGCTATAAAAACATTACATATGAGTAATTAGAACCAAATTAAAAAAAGACTTTTTGTTTTTAAACTTCACGCAGCATCGCATTGCTGTGGCTCATAGAGATAAACGATTGATTGAATGAAATAACTTTTTAACACTTACATCGTGTTTGTGTTTTATTGACATTTCGAATACTTTAGAGGTTCCGTGTTAACATAAGATTAACAGCCTATTGCACAGAGGTCCATTAAAATTCTCATTACTTTAAAGCGACATTACCTATACAAATTTGACATTCATTAGAGCTTAAAGGCGTCATTAAACCTCAATGGACGTTTGTGAAACTGACAATAAGTGTTGATTGTATTTTATTTAAGAGTGTAGCTGCCTTCAAAAATTCTATTGGACAATTAACAATACATGCTTTTATTATTTTTTGTTCTATTGTTCATTTGTCATTTAATGGAGAGTGCACGTGATAATATAAGAAATCAATATAAATGATTGAGATAAAAACAATTCTATTTTTAATTAGCTCAGTCATTAAGTGGGTATTAACATGTAAATATTTTGAGTGATTGCCACGGCTTCCTGATCTCAACTCCCACAAGAGGGTTCACTATAAGTATTTTGGTGGTTAGGCCTCCGACTGGGCAGCTCACTGCCGGGTGTGTTAATGAAGGAGAGTCCAAACATCCCCTGTAGCTTGCTAGGTAACAGGGGCAGAGCCAAATGCATTTTCTCGACGTAGAAATGTACAAGTTTTCAATTGAAATCGGTTCGGTAGTTTCGGAACGACACGAGGCTTTAACTGGATAGATCATACAATAACAAAATATGTGACAACAAAGGTAAGTGTAAGTAAACACAGTAAAATTTAAACTACTACTAAGATGTAGGAGAAAGTCAAGCAACCACTATTACTATTTGTTTAGTGTTATTTCTTCAACTTTTGTTTGCTACAAAAGCTTGTTGCAATTAAGCTTGTAAAAAAATAGAAGTTATTAATGCACGCAAAGGTGAACCAATGTGTATTACAAGACATCTTTTAAGAAATGAAAAACACCAGTAAAATTCCAATACTTATTTCTCATTAAAATAACAAATGAACGCAAATAAAATAAACGTATCGTGTTTTACGGAGCTAATAAAACACGAACTATGTGTTTCTTTTTTAGAAATTTATCAAACCAAGAAACTATAAAATAACTTCTATACCTACATCTTATAATATAATCGATTGCGGACTAAAATGAATGTTAAAATTATATTTTGATTTCTTAACATAAACTATTATTTAACTGCCTGATATTTATTGAGGATGATATAAGTTATTTTAAAAGCTTCCAATTATAAGAAATGTGTTACAATTACGAGATGAACTAAACCAAGCGCTAATTTAATTTTCAGTACCTTTAAGAATGATAATTATTAAAATGACATCATATCTTCATACTTATGATTCAAGCCACTTTGTGGCCAATATAAGTGTCGTCTCGTTAGTATTCTAGTTCTAGTATAATTAAATTCAATTAGTGATATCACAAAAGCGTAAAAAAATCTTTAAACTTTTTAATGCCTATGTTGTCTTAATAAATCTGAACTTTAGCTAAGCACCTGCCTATTATTTAAATGTATGTTCATATCCCAAAGATTGCCCCGTAGAGAATGCATATAGTTTGCCATTTTATTTTGTAAAAAGTATCAAATAAATAATAATGAACTATGAAATACTTATGGACATCAGTTATAAAATTATTATGTGAAACGACGGATCTGAAATCATAGTATACATGTCGACGATATCAAAACATTTTTTAGCATGAAGTGTCGTTGGGCAACGTGTAAACGTGGGGGAAAATTAATTTATTAAAATTGAATAAACACGCCGTGCCGGTGCCGAACAAAAATAACGCGACTGGCCAGCCTGGGCACGGCGAAAATTTTAGTTTCGGCACATACGTTTTACGTGAGACCACGCTGATTATATTTGAAAAGTTCCACTGAAAATTTATATATGAGAAACGCCTTCGTGCCGTTTTTAATGAAGTTACTATATTCCATCTGTGATATTCGAGTGTTTGAAGTTTAGTGGAGCCAGTAGAAGTGTGTCAATAAATCATGTTCAATCATACGAGCAGTTCATATAAAGTGAACTCTGTGAGCTACAAAATAAGGAATGATGATTCGAGGAGAAATGTTAACAGTGAGTATTATATTGTCACATTATTCGTAATTGAACTTGGTTTGTGAACAGAGTTCGGGTGCTATATTTTCTTTGTTTTTCTTTGTAAAGAGCTTTTATAAAATGTGTGTTCTCATTATTTGTATACGAATAATGGATTCGTTTGATTTCTCTTGATGCAATACTAAAGGAACAAAAATTATTTAAATTTAAAATATTATCTACTAATTTAATTAACTTTAATAAATTTATTAAATCAAAAGCCTTTTATTTCTGTCCCCTAAAATATTTGATTGGGTACACTTGAAAATATTTATTAATAATACAATTATATGTTGAGAAATTTTCCGGACCATTGAACAGATCCACTAACCACAATTCAATTACTCAATTTTGAAAGCAGACCGACGTTAAATGAAATATTTAACTAGTTTGTTACTTTTGTTTTTGTTGTGATGCATTACAATAAAACGTTTTATTTGTATTGCTTGGATATGCTATTTTTTTTTTATTTATGAATTTAAATAATTTTATTTATAAATTTAGTAAATATTTATATTGGACAATATCATATAAATTGCTCAGATTCCAAGATGAGTAGCTAAATTCCCCCATATTATGAAGTATCTGATAAGACGAATGTACCACAATATCCAGACCCGAGACAATATAGAAAAGTACATTTTCTGCATTGACCCGACCGTTGAATCGAACCCGGGGCTCAGACATGACGACACCTTGAAACCGGCGTGCAACCGGTGGCTCAGTCACGGAGGTCGTCAGTTATTAGATTTTTTGTAAATATTATTTATTTAGTGATAAGGAGTGCTCTGAGGGAGTACTATTCTGTAAACAGCCTTGAACTAGGCGTCAAGCATAGCGCAGCATAGATTTTTAATAAAATAAAATCTACTTCAAAAAATTATTCATTGAAGAATGTAATTAAGTAATAGTATAGCAGCAATCTAAGTGTATTAATTGAAATGTATGGTGTGATTACTTCTAATGAAAATGACCTAATAGTTTTTGGTCAGTAAAATAAATTGAACTATTTATATAAACTTGAAACGATCAAAAAATTTGAGTGGTGTCTGCTCGTTTTTTTTTATTAATTTTTTTGATTGACATTCACACATCAGATAACAACGAAAAAAAATATTAGTTTATTGGTTTTTTGTTACGCCCTGGTGCATCGAATAATGGTTGAATGTACATGATAATGGAATAAGGCCATACATAGGTATCCTAAATTTAAACCTAAGTTTTGAATTTTCAACACATGTTTTGAATTTTGACATCGACTCCCTTGGTTATTTACTCTCTTGGTCGTCCTTCGCTGGCGGCGAGTGACTTGTTGCAATCGAGAAAGAAACAAGAATAGTGAATTTCATGTAGACTGTAAATAAGTACAAAACGACCAGTGAACGCGAGTACCTAGAAGAATTATTCAAAAATAGAACTTAATGATAGGGTATATTAGCCAATTTTAAACGGCTAAGTGATTAGTTATAATACAATCCCTTTTATTGAGAAACCAAAATATAGAAAGTGATGATCATAACGTTGTTTTTTTCCATGCACGAGTGAATGTTAACTTTGCGATTTCGATGGGGTTTTATGCGTGTTTTTACGGTTATTACACCGATTCCAATCTTCATAACAACTGAACCTTTCTGATTTAGTGAACGGTTTAACTTCTGAACGCCCGGTTTTTTTATTTGACACTGAATTATGTTATCGACTTGATCCAGCCTAATGTAAATAAATCGTGAAGTAGAACTGTGATATTGCTAGGATTTCTTGTAATTAAACACAATTTTTGAGATTCTAATTTGTAACTCGATGACGTAGAGGATAAGCGCCGCGGCTCGCGATCGTTGTTGTTAAGCAATTTTTGCAAGGATCGGTCACGGGATGGGTGACCAAAAAATTTAAACAGTTGGTCCCGGCTGCATTTGCAGTCGTTAATACCCTCCAATCCGCATTGGGTCAGCGTGGGCGGTCATGGCCCATCTTCCTTAGCCATCTATAAGGAAGACCTGAGCCCCTGCAGTTGGGACGTAAAAGGGCTGATGATGATGATGAATTTGATGTCACATTGGTATGGTGGAAATTCATGCTTTAAGTTAAGCTACATGATAAATTACATACATCAAAAGTCGAATTTCCCGAAACAAACAATGTTTCTTCTTGCCGTAGAAAGAAAAGTTTAGAAAGTGCATACGAATTTAGCTATCATAGTAAATATCATAAGCTTATTGCTTGTTTTTTTACCTTTAAATATGTACCACTTTGAAATTTTAAGAGAGTCTCATGAAAAGTCAAGATTTTTCACATCAGCCTTTAAACATTACAAAGTATTTTTTTTTATCTATCGTCCCAAAAGAATAAATGCTATCATTAATGTAACACGTTAGTTTTCTGAGTCACTCATTCTTACTTGTGTATATAATTTCAACTTAATAGGCCTAGCAGTAGTCAGTTAAAAATACAATGTTGAACGCAGCCTGGACCCCAGATCTGCCGCAGCATTAGAGGCATTAAATAAAACCTTTTTTTTAACGCTGGAAAATGAGTTACGTATACACGCTCCTCCATAGCGCGGGGTCTATGGGTTATGTTGGACTCGGACCCAACCTAGAATGCGGCTAGTCACTATACATAGTATAGGCAATAGTAGGGGCAACGGAAGTAGAGGGCCTACTAAAAACCAGCGATATTCTTCTCCATGGAGGCAATGGACGGGGACAGCCCGAAGACCACCTCCCGCGCCGACTTATTAAATAATACCTACTTGAAAAGGTAATTTTTGGCAACGAAAATTTTATATTGATCAATCAAAATTTGACGCATCTTGTTGAATAATTACCGTAATAATTATCTCAAATTCATTGCCAAAGAAACCGTATCTTGGTCAAGTCGTATTGGATATGTAATGGAAGCGCACGCATAAACAAAAAACAACGTACCACATAACCGATGTGCAGCTGCACATTGGTTATGACAGTTATCATCACTGTTTCCAGCCTTTATTGTCTCAGCTTCTGGGGCTGAGACCTTTCTTGTAGATGAAATCAAATAAAATCGAATAGGGAGAATGGGTCGTACCATGCGGACCCTATGCAAATTGATGACTTTCGAAATACGGAGAAACTAGAGATAAAGAATTTTTGGCCACCCATCCTATAACCGGCCATTGCGAAAGTTGCTTAACAACCTTATCGCAGACCAAGAGCACTAACTACTATGCTATCCAGCTCCTTACCACAATATATCACTTCAATCGATTTAGACCTTAACCCTCAAAGCATTGAAGTTTAAAATCAAGTGGAAAAATTTGACAGTTCTATGTAACCTAACTTGCTGTTGACTGTATAACGACTTTCTGTGTTTTGTCGTGATATTCTGATTTAAATCGTTGCAAATTTATTCATATTTCTAATTAGAACGAACAAGAAGTCTTCATGATTCCTTAAACTTCAAAATATATTTCTCAAGTAGCGTAAATGCAATAAAATATCGCCAGCGGCTGTGTACAGCGAGTGCATTTAAATAACACTGCTGCTGGTGTAACTTTTGCTAAGGAATGATTCACACAACATGTAGCTATGAAATTTTAAAAATTATTTTTAATATAATAGAAGTGTGAGATAGAAGTGTACGTAATAGAAATAGAATTTTTGTTCTTCATCACTTTACTTCCCATTTGTCTAGCAGTGGAACTTCTTGCTGGCGTCTATATTCCCGAGTGCATATAACCTAGATTTATTTCAGGCAAAAGGGAATAGGTATCATCTAGTCGAGCTCGTCTCACCGTAGACCTCATTTATGTCCTTGGGCTAGATTGAGGTCAAGAATGAGTCAAATATAAATAGAAAAAAGCAAGAACTTTAGATTTTCAACTATTTGTTAAAATAAGTATCTCTACACTTCGGACGGATATTAAGATGTTGTCTTGCTTGCATCTACAGTCTTCAATACCCACAAATCTAAACTTTACCAGCCTGGTGTTGCCCGTTTAGCAAAATTATAAGTGGTAAGGCCACGTATATCTTAAAATTGTGTTTGAGAGTAGTTTGACGAAATATCTAGTAAATAATAAAGGATATCCCCCACGAAAAAAAATCACAAGCGAGTTGAATCATAAAAAGCATAGCCGTCAAATTTTTGTTTTTCGTATATTAAATTTTCGATATTTTAAAGAGTTCGTAAATATTAACTAATTTAGGTTTATTATATTTGATCGATTTTGCATTCACAATGCTTTCCTAAAAAAAAGAATCTTAACGTAAATTCAATAAAGTTTTACTTCACAACAATTAATGTCAACAATTTATACAGTTGACTTCAAACGTGTGACACAAAAAGACCTTTTTATCAAAAATAAACACTTGGGTGAATATTAAATTTGACGAATCAAAGATTATACGGAAATATTGCAGAAAGCTAACATCAATAACAGGCGCTTGACATTATTACTGAAAATCAAACGTGTTCAAAAAATTATAAACTGAAGTAGGTACTTTATTCTTTTAAAATAGAACCGACCTTTTTATATCAAATTTCCATTTAAGACTGTCGAATCAGAGATTACTGGTAAATGAAAATGAGAACCTCACCAGCCTTTATATTTACATTGACATACGCTTTTAACGTGTGTTTCCCACCTAAGATATACCCTTAGGGTGTCGCCGCCAGAAAATTATCAGCCGAGCGAGAAATTAAAGTAGCCGTGAACGGCATAAAATTAACTAAGTCTTTTCCTTAGTGTTAAGGTCTTAAGAGCGACTCTGGTGTTAAAGTTTTGGCATTATTCCCGAGGCGCGGTTTCTCCGCCGATTGCGACCACAGTTCTCTTAATTCGCCTTGAATTCGGCGTAAAGACGATGATTATTTAGGATTTCGTTAAAGCGTTTAAATTGTTTCTGGGTATTTGAGGTATTTCATTGTTTCTGATTTTCGTAATAGAAGTCAAAATGTTTATTAGATGAGTGTTATTATATGATCATCACTACATAGTA